CCCCAGGCAGCACAGAAGGCTGAGTATTTTCCAGAATGTTACACATAAGCTTTGTATATACTGGTACTTACCATGCTTCATCATCACAGTTAAGAACCGGACAATTACTTTGGAGCACGGCCTGATGAGAACCTGACGCTTTCCGCGCTTCTCTGCATTGTTGATGCTTTTAAGAGCATCTGCCAGAACATTCATGCGCACCATGATGCCTGCATAAATAACAAATATTTGAGAGCTTCTCGTGAGCCTGGAATTCCAAATGATGGTTTAATACAGTGTTTTCTTAAAGTGTGGTCCAAGGACCCCCAGGGGCCCCCCTCAAGACTCCATGAAATCAAAATTATTTGCCAACCTATGCTGAAAAATAATACGGTATTAAAATCCCATCACATAATTGTAAGGAGCGGGAACAAATGCATCCATTTTAATTTTTAATACGATGAATAGTGATAAATAAAACCCATACAAGCAAAAGCTCCTTTGGGGTCCTCCATAATTTTTAAAAGTGGGAAGGGGTCCTGAGAGAAAAAAAGTTTTAAAAACACTGGTTTAATAGATTCCTTAGGTATGTTTAGTGCAATAGAGAACACTGCAAGATTGTTCAAAATACCACTTTCTGAACATATGAAGAACTGTGGTCTTAGATATCACAAGCAATACAATGAATTATATGCATTATCTGTGTAACCACCAAAACACCAAAGAAATAAGAAGTCAAATGTTGCAGACAACAAACCTGTGAATTCAGCAGAGACATTAAAAGCAATTTCATTCTTAATGGTGTTGAATGAATGTAATAAGTGGTTGGCCTATTCTAGCTGCAACTTTCTATACTAAGCCCTAACTATCCTACAAAACAAACTGGCTTTGTTCCAAACTCGGCACAAATTACATTACATAGCTATAATGCTTAGAGATTAAGCGTGAAAGGACACAGAACTCCTAAAAAGTATTTGCAAAAAAAAAAAAGATTTACGAATTCAAGTTCAGTTCTGTCAGAGCAAGCGTCCAAAGCATATTACAGATGTATCAAGCCAAATCATAAGACTTCAAAGCAGCAGTTGCTTTTTCATTTGAGGCTCAATTCCTATTAGAATTCATTCTGTCTACAATTTCTCACATTTAGCATCTGAAGTAAAGGTTTCTGACTTTACACTAAACTAATGCAGCCCAAGTTAAGGACACCGTTCACCAGACTTTAATGAAACACCATTTGCTTAAATTATTTTCTCCAGTTACAAGTTTGGCTGGCTGGTACCCAGAAATACTAAACGAATACTGAACTACATAGACAGTGCCGTTAAAAAAAAACTATATAAAAAAGTGCTGCATTGGAAAGTTTGAAAGCCGTTGCACAAAAATAACCCAAAGTACCAATAGAGGTGAATATGGGTAGCTCAGGGTTGAACTGTGGAGTCCTTGGGGTTCTCTGAGCTTGGTTCTTCTCTTGCAGACGTTTCACTACCCGGCTAGGGAACATCTTCAGTGCTAAAATCGGATGCAAACCCCATCCCATTTTAGCACTGAAGAGGTTCCCTAGCCGGGTAATGAAACATTTTCAAGAAAAGAACCAAGCTCAGAGAACCCCCAAGGACTCCACAATAACCCAAAGTATTGAAAATATCTATTTTCAAAAGCTCCAGCAACCCTGGAGGATAATATAGATTTAGCTCAACCTTGTGAGCTGGTCAACCAATATTATTTAATCCACTTGTTACTTCAGCAATAGTAAATTTGAATACAAAAAAGGCTTGACTTCACAAGCTATTCTGTGTTCTTATGCATGTGCCCTTTCAGTCCATGCCAAAGAGAGCTTTTCAAATACAAACCAAGATTACTTATGACAGAGCTGTGGGACTAATGTCTTTTGCAGACATGATCAGAAACTTGCTGTGAACCCTATGAATTAATCGGCATCAAAATACAGGGACTAAACTGGTAACATCTTCCTGAAGCGCATCGTTAACTACTGAATTTAAAAAAGGACCCATATCTTCTCTTTAGCCTTCAGAGACGTGAACTGATTACGCCTATATTGAAAGCAAAGAGTTATTTTGCATGTATACACAAGGGTTATTTTGCATATATACACAAGGCTGTATTATGCTTCATTTCTTTTCAGGACATAAGTTGCAACTGAGAGCAAGTTCTGGTCCCTATCCATCAGATTTCTCTCCTAAATGTCTGCAAGATAGCTTAATTAAAGCCGAAGCATCATGGACAATTGGGATATTTTTCACCATCCCAAGCTGGTGTCTTTCCCAGAGCTGTGCAACTACAGTTTCCCACAGGCACCCAACATGCTGGCTGGGAATTCTGGGAGCCATACAGCAATGCATCTGGAGAACACCGGATTGTTCCTTGTGCAGGGCGGCATGGACGTAAACTGAACGTCAGCATGCAGAGGCAGAATGCTCTTAAACCCGAATTGCAACGAAACGAGGAGGCTGGACCCAGAGCCAGCGAGCCACCATCCTTCCAACTCTACCCCCGGCCTGCAGGATGTGCCATAATTCTGCCCACCGCCATCACCGAAGACCAAGGCTACAGACGACGGGCCCTCGGCCACCAGTCAGACAGCCCACCTTACGAACTTGGGACACGGATGAAAAGGGGAAGCGCTGCTTGCCCCCTGCAAGGGCTCCGAGGCGTCTCCACCGCAAGGCAAACCTGGAGACCTGCTTTTGCTACAGCACAACCCCGAGCAGGGCGAAGGGTTTCTCTCGCCAGGATTGCCCATTTCCAGCCATGGGTCCCTCCCCGCCCCAGGGATTAGACGGGGCTGCTTTGCACGGCATCGCTCCAGCCCGTTCCCACAACGTGCTTCACCCAGGGAGGGAATGAGCCCACGTTCTAGGTTCACACGACACGTGGTTAACCCAGCGCTTGGGAACTCGGCCCTGAAGTTCGGGACAGCCTCTCCCTCCCCGCTTCCCTGAGGCCTCACGCCCAGCCCGTTTCCCGAGCTTGCCTTCCAAGCTCCACTCCCAGGCATTCCTCTCCTAACCAGCCGCCGCCGCCGCCACCAACCCCCCGGCTCGGTTCAGGCCGGCGCCGCGAGGGCCAGGACGCGCGCGGCTTCCTCCGAAGAAGCTGTGCGGGTCGAGCGGAGCCCCGGCTTGCCGGGACCGGCGTGAAAAGGGC